GCTGCTCCAGGCTGAAGTGGTGGAGACTCTCCTGTATGGGTGCGCCTCGTGAAACCTAACAGCGGAGGACTACACGAAGCTCAATGGGACCCACCGCCAGTTCCTGACAAGGTGCATCGGCTGGAGCAACCGGAAACGCTCAGACCGCCCCCTGTCCTATGCCCAGGCCCTCATCCAGGCAGGCTGCGAGGAAACCATCGAGGCCACCGTGCGCAAACGGAGACTGTGTTTAGCGGGCTTTGTTATGCGCATGGAGGACAACCGCCTCCCCAAGCACATGCTGTTAGGAGCGATGGCGGGGGGCGTGGGATACCGGGGCGGGCAGGAGAGCGACTGGGCGTCTCGTCTAGACTATGAGAGGACCTCGTGGCCTTCAACATGAGAAACGAAAAGGAAGGGGGTAAATGGAAAGAGAGCTTGGCCCGGAGGTGTAGTACAACATAATCGAGGACGGGGCGGCATGGCTCATGAGGAAATGGCACAGGCAGGAGGCGGAAGCGTCCGCGAAGCGCCAGCGCGCGAGGGAAGCAGAAGCAGAGAGTACGGCCATCTCAGGACCGAAGAGAAAGAGAGTCGGGGAAGCGGCGGTAGGGGGGGACGAAACGGCGACCGGGCACTGCTGTAGAAGCGAGTAGGGTACCCGAGGCAGTACTTGTGGCGAACGATGTACTCGGCTGATGTTGTTGCGCCCTGTTTCCCCCCCCGCTGTATGCTATACTCCTTTATGTATGTCCTTTATATTGCCTTCAGCCTCTTTGCTGTGTTTCTTTTTTTCATAATTTCCCTGTCTATTGTACTGTGCTGGGTACCTTGATCTCGCTTTTGCTGTTGCCTTTGTTTTTGTACGTCTGGCTGTCTACCTATCTGCCGCCTCTTTGTCCAGTTTGCTCCGTTACTCCCATGCCCTGGTGCGTAGTGCATGGTGCTGGTACGTCACCGTTTGATTTTTTCTTAAGGCGGGTGTGGGAAGCGTCCTCCAATATTTTTGTTTTTGCTTTATTTTGAGCGGTTTCCGAGGGCTCCCTTCTCGAACGGTCGATGCGATGCTTGGTCATTTCTTTCTATCATTTTGTTTTCTTTGTCCGAGTGGTTTGTACCCTTATTTTGTTTTGTTTCCCCGCGGCGTCGTATGTGCCGGGTTTTGAGACCACGGGCTCCCCATTTTTGTGGACAATAGAGCTAATGTGAAAAACAACAACAACAACAATTTTCGCGCACACGTGTTGTTCTCGTTGTTGTAGGCACCGTCAGTCTCGTGAAGAGCTTTCCGAAAACGCACATCGCACACCATGAACCGATTTTTCACAGCTCGAACGCTACAGCAGAAACGACGCGGTGCCGAAGATGGCGTGGTTAGAACCGACGTGTCGAGCTTCCCGAAAAGGCAATATTTGGTTTCTACATGTTCTTGGTCGTGAAGCAGTCGAGCTTTGAACGTCGACCCATGAGGTGTGAATATGATGTCATTCACGGTATACTTATTCTGCGTACCCCGCACACACACACACTCATGCGTGCACCGGGAAATGAATCATTTGTACGTCAAGTGCCTGTAAGTTCTATCGCAAGGACACATTGAACTCGTTGGCTGAAACCTCGATGACTCTCCGTACCGAAAGAGATGCGGGACGATGCTCAAAGGACATGAGATGGACCGCAGTGCATTTCCTGGGCTGGTGGGTGGCGTCCACCTCGCGTGACCCTCGACAGAGATGATGCCAAAGCACACCCAATGGTATGAAAAACGACGAACAAAACGCGTGGGATGGCTGACACAGGCGCCGCCCTTGCCCCCGTCCCCCGGTTTCAATATGTCCCTCGGGAAATAGACCAGAACGCTCCGTTTCGACATGCTATGATCATGAGTACCCCCTCCCGCCGCTCTGTCCTCTCTAGGACGCGTGGCCAACGATATCCAGCGAAAGCATGCGGGACATGTGTTCGCCCTCCCCCTCCCCTCCCTCGATCCTATCCAGCTGCCCCTTCAGGTCGGCGGGGCTGTGGCAGGACGGGGCCTTCATCAGGGAGGCCGCGCTCGGGACCGAGATCATCGGGGTCACCGGCCCGGTGGCCTTCCGGGAGTCGAGCTCGACCGTCACGAGCGGCGCCGGCACGGCGGGCTCCGGGTGGCGGCGGACCAACGGCACCGAGTTCTGCGCGCTGAACCTTCAGGCGCACGCCTCCCTTGGCGCGACCTTCGCGACCACCATGCTCTGGAGGCCGGAGACCTTCGTCGACTCCAACGGGACGCTTGCCACGTTCGAGGTGCCCTGCTCATACGGCTTAATCACTGTCACGGACTTGCCTCCTTCCCATACATGTCTCTTCTTGCATTTGTGAGCAATTCTAAGGACATAGATAGCACAGGGGAGCTCATCCAACGGTTCACGCCCCTGATCCAATGCGTCTGAAAATTTTAATGGAGGTAGAATTTTCCCCGAGTGTCTTAATGGACGACGACCGCCTGCATCCACGTTAGCGCTTGGACCGGGTTTCGCAGCCTAAGATTTCTGCGCAGTGAGCAGAGCGCCGCCAACGCCCTACAAGGGATGGCATGGAAAAGGGGGCATCACTGCAACCTTTCGATTGGTTCGACCATTTTCCAAGGCGCATCCGTCGGTGCCGTCAACGTTCACGTGGAGAGATTGAATCGCGCACACGGCAGAAGATGAAGGGTCTCTCGTCGTACGGGTGTTGGAGTGTACGGGGGTGCTGATGCGAACTTGTTGTGTTGCTTGGTGGGATATGTTGGCGTGGGTTGTTGTTGTTTCTGCTGCTGCTGCTGCTATCGGTATCGCTGTCGTGTTGGTTGTGATTGGTCATGGTCGCTGCTGCAGCGGCCGCTGCTGAGGTGTCGTTGCTAGTGTTGTAACTTTTTCCTTGATCGTTGCCGATGATTCGGAATTCTTCCTCCACACGACTGCTGTTGCACGCTCTCCTCCGCTTTTGCATGGCTCTGACAGAAAATCAGTCCGTATCAGAAGAACCAGACTTTCCCCGCTGGAAGCGACGTATATCCGTTTGATAGGCCCACCTTAAGCCGTCAGCATTTCGAGGTGAGCGTAGCCCGATGTCCAAATGAGCGCAACCCCAAGCAACCCAAGCAAACGGGGTTTCCTGTAGGTGCTTAGTTTTGTTTAACATTGTACGTCACTACCTTCAGACTTCAATGGTTCGAGTGAGCTCCTGCGTGGTACGCATGGGAAATTTTTTCTCTGGGCATGGTGTAAAACGTCAAGGTATTCGTCATTATCTTGAGCCACTGACTTCGAGGTAAGCTCCATGCAATGCTTCCACAACACATGAATTCCTCCGGGCGTGCTGGACAATGTCGCGTGTTTCTCACCATCACTATCCGTCAACATTTCGAGTGACCTGCCACCCAATTCGGAGGCAACGAGTCTCCGGGCATATTGTAGATGTTCACTTTTTCCCATCCAGTGTCAGTTTCATCAAGATTGTTCTTTGACAATCAATGAATACGACAGCAACTCTCTGCCAGGGCGTGGTTTATTGTAGGGTGACATGTTTTTGCCGAGTAGCGTGATGGTTTCCCGGAGTACGTCGCCTTTGGTTTCTCGTGACGTTCAACATTATTGTCTCGCACCTGCTGGACGTTTCCACCAAGTACTGCTGATGCTGTACGGTGGTTTCAGACTGTTGTCATTTTTCCCTAATGTTTTTCCCGTGTTAATGCATAGGTCATCACCGAAGAGGCCGCCGTTCCATTCGCGTTCATCACTCGGCGAGACAACCAAACGGAAGAATACACAGGAATTGCGCTGGATATGCTCGAGGTGTGTGTGCTTGTGTACTTCGTTAGTTTCGTGTGTGTCGGGTTGCTGCTGCTGTTGTTGTTGGTTGTCGTCGTCCCTTGTGAGGCCCATGAAACTGCCCCTCCCACATTGCGTTCCGTTCAGGAAATCATCAATCGGAAAACCGTCCTCTTGCCCCTCCGGCTGCACTCCCTCCGACTCCCTTCCGATCGACGCCTACCCAAACCGCGGCTCGTGTCAGAAGCCATTTCTGTTGCCGTGACGGCTACGGTTCATGAGAGATTGCGTAAAGAGAAAGCACGGGATTATGGAAAAAATACGGCATGTTCCGGCTACATCTTTATGAGAAAACAACACTTCATCGTACGGTATACAAAAAACGGAATTTGGGAAGGTGATTGGGTTGTCCCCTCCCTCTTTCAACCCGTAGCCCGAAGGAAGCATCCCGACTTCTCTCCGTTTTGCATCTCATGTCCGCTGTTTTCATCTTCTCCTTCGTCCCTCGTTTGCTTCTTTCGGCCTTGGCAAAATTTTGTGGGTCGATGACGAAACCATCAACTAAAACAACACCGGCGGCGACGGCGACGACGACGACGACGACGATAACAACAACGACAACAATAACAATGTCATCTTCAACAACAACGACGACGACGACGACGTCAACGTCAGGTTCTCTCTGGCCGACTAGGTTTCACGTACAACGTATCCGTGGCGAACTCTTCCGTCTCCACCGATGACGTCATTGGCTACGTCTCGAACGGAACTTACGACATGGTGGCGTCGTCGGTGAGGCCCCCGTACTCTGCGGTGGCACACACGATCGTGCCACCATGCAGGTAGTACATTCTGAAGATGCACCTCGTCAGGAGTATTCTCTGTAGATCGAATCAAGTGTGGCAATGGCGACTACTCTCATTTGCTCAGACAACGTCACCGTGAGAGCTACAAAGTGCAGTGGCGAGCAGCAGCTGTGTAGAAGCGCTACCCGCCGTGGGAACGTTCTTCGGGATGTTCTCCTGCCTGGGTCGTCAAGGGCATTTCCTACTTCAACACGATGAAACTAAACTAGGACACATGGTAACCAATTAACTCCCATTCACTTTGTCGATCACAACAGCAACATCAGCGGTCGGCGAACTGGGTCGATACCGCCACCCACATCACGTGTCTGTTCGGGTGAACAAGCAATCTAGTCTCGAGCAACCGTAGTACGTAATCAGGCACCTGCCAAAGAATGAATCCGGTTGCTGTCAACAGCTCACCAACCATATTTCCAACACCCGAGACCTCGAAAGGGCTTGGTTCTTTACGGTCACAGACAATCAACCTCCCAAATTGTTACTGCCTAACTCCAGGTGACCATCAGCGAGCGCCGACTGGACACAGTGTCGTTTTCCTACCCTTTCATGGCGACGGGGCTGTCGTTCGTCTACCGACCGGAGGTTCTTGACGAGGTGCGGAACCGACACTTCTTCCAAGCTCATCCCCCTGCTAATATTTTGTCATTTTGCTTCCACGTCAGATAGCGATCTCACACCTCTTGGACAGGTTTGAATGATGAATGACTCCACGACGAAGGAAATGCCAAAATCAAATGATGCGCTTCCGAAAGCTCTTGATGAGAGGGTTCCGATGCCGCGAGTTTAGGCACCGCTACCTACAGAGTTAACCGAACTTTGACAAATCGGTCTAGGTGGTGTGTATCTTAATGCAACATGCGGTACAACACACATCTCAAATATGCCCGCGTTTTCAAGCTTCGGGCCGAAGAATGCTAACTCCGTTGGAGAGTGTGGGGCCCAGGGTATTTCTCTTGGACATAACACAAGTACCCCGTTTTGTCCAAACGCCTCCTTCGGCTTTCAGGTAAACTGGTGGAAGATGTTCCAACCGTTCGAGCGACCGCTCTGGATGCTCATCATCGCGACGACGGTGGTGATGTTCGCACTACTTTGGCTCTTTGATGGCGCAAAGGTGCGGGCAGAGTGGACGGAATTTCAGGAAGATTACTCAAGCACAAATACACGTACGTCTAGCGTCCCGTTTAATCTGGTTGTTACGCCTTTCCTTATTTTTTTGTGGAAGCATCACGGAAGAGGAAGGCCACACAGTAGGTTTGTACTTCTACGTCGTTCTTCGGCGGTTCCGGCCTGAACCGACCGATTGGGGGGTTGATTTCCTGTGCAGAAGGTCAACACGTTAGGTTAGCACAGAGGAGGCGGGTACGAGGTTTCTCGGCAGAACATCATCCTCTTCAAGCTGAAAACGGAACCGCGTACGTATACCGCCGGGTGGTGGGGCCAGAGGGGCAGACGACAGAGTCCAATGATGAAAAAAAAAAAAATGTGTGCGCGGTCCCGTATTCGACCGTAAGTATGTCGCTGTCTCTTCGATCCGGTAAATTCACATGTGGGAAGCAGTTCTTACCAACCGTCGGCATCGTCTGACGTTCCCTATGCATCAAACCAGCCCGTTAGGCCAACCTCGTGTCGGATTCCTAGCCACGGTAACCCTTGTCTAGGTGGCGTTTTGGCGCTATCTTGGTCCGCTCGAGGCGTCGAAAGTTTGTTAGGCTGTGAATGGAACCACGCTCACCTGCCGCGCTCAGATAAACACTGTTCGAATCCTGGCTTCTGGCGCGTTGCTGGTTCCTGTCAGGCGTGACAGAAATCAGGCAGATGTCAAGCTTTCCCGACGACCACGCGAACCTAGCGTTTGTTCTGATTTCCGGAATTCTTGATAAAGGCCATTTCACTCTTCTTGCGAAGAACCGTGGGAGTTGCTCATTGCATGCCGCACCGATTGACCAAGTGGAACCCTTTGAAATCTTCCTGCACCGAATTTTGGGGTCCTGCAGAACGAGATTTTCACTAGCGGGGTGCCCACGGCGACCGGCAGCAAACGGCGGCTCACATCGGTAAGAATTGCGGGACAACGTGTAGTTGGTTGAACCAACTATTGTTGAGGTACATGTAAATCTTCTCAGAAGCTTAGATACTTGTGCTTCGATGCTGGAGTATCCACATGGGAAATCGAAACCGAGCCTCGAACGAAACGAAGGTTTTATTAAGAGGGAGCGCGTTCGGTATGGCAGGATCTCGTCTAGATCTACATTGTGCTGGAAACAAACCTCCTGTGTCGTCCTGCGCTCTCCGGGGCTCTCTGCTCCCCTCTCCTTCGGAAGCCGCCCGAGGCACGAGGCACGTGATGAGTCGTCCAAAGCTGTAAGAGATGTGTACTACTTACATACGACACACTGTGTCTTGCCAAGTGGGGCCACGACCAAAAAAAACATATACTCAAACGCTCCACTTCCTCACACGCCCACATTGGAAATTCCCCGCCAACCCCCCCCCCTCGGTGTTTGCCATCGGGGTTGTGTTTTCGTCGCTTGGCAACGACGTTGTAAAACAAGCCGCCGCCCCCCGGTGTTTGCCATCGGGATTGGGTTTTCGTCGCTTGGCAACGACGTTGTAAAACAAGCCAATTCACTTCGTGAACTCGGCAACCAGGTTACCGTTTTTTTTTTTT